TTCACCCACAGCCAAAAAAGTACATTTCTTAGCCTCTTCTCCACAGACTATGTTCTTCTATCTTACTCTGACGAGGCAGCTTTCGATATGGGCCGGTATACCTGCAAAAGTCTTAGTCACGGTCAATAGAGTATATCCTCCGCAAACTCTATTCTCTTATCTTGGTCTATCGAAATTTTTAGAAAAAGTAATATCAAAACAAAATATGAAAGCAATTGAACTTTCGGTCTAATGGATCGTATTCAAACTTTAAAGTTTGAATTTAGTTGGTTGATAATTTAATTTTTATCAATTATTTAAAAGTTTATTATTTTCTCATAAGTTTTTATTCTCTAATAATTTTTCATGTTCAAATAAAATAAAATATGAAAAGAAAAGAAATTAATTCTAAGGTGGAGTTTGAAATGAAATCACTATTTTTAGAACATCAAAATGTTTCCAAAATATAACAGAATAAATCAAAAACTTTCTCAAAATGCAAATGTGAAAGAATAATAAAATGAGTAAATTGTATTTCAAAGTGTTTTGAACCTCTTCTTTTATGAAAGCCATGGTGCCTTTTGGTATGCATGCCCAAATAGATATGACTATTTCATCAGTACAGCATCTAGTGAATGTCCATGAATTTAAAATGAAAGTACATATATATCGTCCTTTAATGAATGTACATTTAGATGCATAGAGGCAAATAATCATGCCTAGCCAGATTAATATAATCTCACATCTTGTCACCTGATTGCACCCATTTATACCCACTTAACAATCTGTTGTGTTTTAAGGACAAGGCCACTACGAGATTAACAATTTAATCTGAAAGTTGAAAATTTATTTCATTTGTTAATTTTTAGTTCAATATTACTCTAAACTACTCATCAAGAATTTGATTTGATTGTTTTTTATGTCCATGTAAACTCATACCCTAGCCCCCCTATCTCTGCCCCCTCTGATCTTTTCGCTCTTAATTTTTCTTTATCTCCATCTACTGTCTCTATTCCTAGGTGGGTGAGGAGGACCGAGGATGAATAAAAGTTAGGTTTTTTTTTTTTTTTTTATTTTTCTTCTTTGTAAGAGTTTCTTTCACTTTTGGGAGTTTTTGCCCCCAGTTCTCTTGATGTATTTTTACCAGGCTTTGTTTGTGATAGAAAAGTAAAACAGCACAATTATAAGGTTGGGCTCTAATGGGTCGTAGCGCTTGCTTTGGCGGTTCACAACATGACTGGGATGACGACCTTGACCAACTTTTCTACCTCAGAATCTACAGTGTCATTCAAATATTTATGTAAGCTTTTTCAATTAATAAATCTCTTAATTTTTATATGAAAAAAT